AGGCCGTCCCATTTCAAAGACTCCTTCATATGCGGCTGAGAAACGTGTCCTTCTTTTCCATGGCAACGAAGGATCCGACGGGTGGATCCTTCACCAGCCAACACATCCCGAGGGTCACCGTGTGCCGGAAAGGATTCGAGATGGATGGCGGCGTAAGCAGAGGAGCGAACGGCGGCCGAAAGAGACGCTTTAAATGTAAGTATTGGGTTTAAACTGAGGCGAATAGCTAACGATACAAAGCAGGAATAGACAGAGAGAAGCATCTCCAGCTCTGATAAATGAAAAAAATAAAAATCTAAAATCAAAGTTTCTGTTTCCATCTTTAAAGAACTTGACAGGAAATCCGCCGTAGAGCAGACCGTCTCATTTCGGTTCAGCCTTTGCGGGTCTACACAGCTTTCGAAGGATGCAGCCCCTGAATTGGGACAGCTTAGATGGCATTAAGTCACAGCAGCAAAGTACTTACTTCTGGGTGGATAAGGCAGGTAGCGCTGCACTGGCACAACAGGGTATTGTGCTAATCTTGAGTCTTATTTAACTGAGATATTGGAAAAATTGAAAGCTTTTTTAAACTGATCTTCCCAGATTAAACTCCACGACTTTGTGTGATTAATTTTTGTCATTATGAACTTGTACCAGCCACACATGTAACTGCAGTGTTTAATGAAGAAGGTGTTTTCCTTCAGCACATTCAAAAACAAGAATTAACCCAAATATTAACCAATTGAACTTATTGTTCTAGAGTTAGGTCATTTTCAATCCGCCCAAGAGTCAGCTGGAACTGCTTATAATAACCATAATCAATGATTTAATTGTCTTTTTGATCATTCTATCTCACTGTATTCTGCACAGGCACTCACCCATTTACACACAATCATATGTGCTTTCAATTTTCTCTGTCGAGTGTGAAAATACACTATACTGCCAGAAGTATTCACTCAGCCATCCAAATCATTGAATTCAGGTGTTCCAATCACTTCCATGGCCACAGGTGTATAAAACCAAACACCTAGGCCTGCAGACTGCTTCTACAGACATTAGTGACAGAATGGGTCGCTCTCAGGAGCTCAGTGAACTCCAGCGTGGTACCGTGATAGGATGCCACCTGTGCAACAAGTCCAGTCGTGAAATTTCCTCACTACTAAATATTCCACAGTCAGCTGTCAGTGGGATTATAACAAAGTGGAAGTAATTGGGAACGACAGTAACTCAGCCACAAAGTGGTCGGCCACATAAAACGACAGGCCGGGGTCAGCCGATGCTGAGGCTCATAGTGCGCAGAGGTCACCAACTTTCTGCGGAGTCAATTGCTACAGACATCCAAACTTCATGTGGCCTTCAGATTAGCTCAAGAGCAGCGTAGAAAGCTTCATGGAATGGGTCTCCATGGCCGAGCAGCTGCATCCAAGCCTTACATCACCAAGCATCAAATACAGTGGTGTAAAGCGCCGCCACTGGACTCTAGAGTAGTGATGTGTTCTCTGGAGTGACGAATCACGCTTCTCTGAGCCAGGCCTTCTCACCAACATCAGTGTCTGACCTCACAAATGTGCTTCTGGAAGAATGGTCAGAAATTCCCATAAACACTCCTAACCCTTGTGGAAAGCCTTCCCAGAAGAGTTGAAGCTGTTATAGCTGCAAAGGGTGGGACATCATATTAAACCCTATGGATTAAGAATGGGATGTCACTCAAGTTCATATGCATGTGAAGGCAGACGAGCGAATACTTTTGGCAATATAGTGTATGAGCAAAAACACTTGTTTTATGGCAACAAGCGTAACTGCTAACAGCCTTAACTTCCTGACTAGCTCATGCCTCCTCATGGCGAACACTCTACAAAGTATTCATTCTACAAATTCAATCAACACTTCAACACACCATCCTAGCTTACACTCTAGTGCACTTATTGGTCATATTAATGTGCTGGACAACTTCATCTTCATCTTCATCCGGAAAAGTAGCTAAAGCACTTGCTAAATTATCTTTGACCACAAACACAACCAGGTTTGCATTTATTGTAAATTGTGCTGCAAGCTGAGCTGCTTCTACGCAGACTGGATGCGAGTTATCCACCCGGAAATACAGCCAACCGTTATGTTCAATCAGACAATCTGATTTAGTCTATCAACATGTCGTGCTGTGTTAGATGTTGGCAAATGACTTAACTGTAAAGTATATTAACACTTTTAAAATTTTCCATACTTTCACCTTGTAGTATATAGATTTCTGAAGTGGTGTGTATTTCTGTAGTTGGTGTCATGCCCATATTAGGAACTCCAGGTCTCTATGGGAAAAATTAATGTTGTTTACGAGAGTTGCCACATTGTAGTTTGTGGTAAACTAAAATACGTTTTTATCCTTCGTTTATTTTTTCCCAGGGTGTCACCGGATCCTCTGAATTACAAGGTCATTTAGCAGCCAAAATACAAATCCTGTTACATAAATGCTACAAGCAAGCTAACATTTAGGCAGTTTTTCCATGCTATTATCTCCAGTGGCGACGCTCATGGGGGCTTGGACCCCAGTTTTTCTGTAAAGCTGCTTTGCGACAACATCAGTTGTAAAAAGTGCTGTAAATAAACTTTGGCTTGACTTAACGCTCCTCCACAATGACAAATATCACATGTGCTGTTTTAGCCTGTTTTTAATGTGTGTGTGTTTTTGTTTTAGCTATTTTACCAGCACTTCTTTTAACTCAGTTTAACCCTTTGTTAGAATACGAAGGCCAAAAAAACAGAGCCATAGCTGGCTAGGTAGGGCCGGGTCTGCCAAATGGTCGGATATGTGTATCAATCCTGTACTTTAAACCATTTTGATGTTATGAAGGCTAGAATTTACCTACATATTTGCCTATTTTTGGTGTTACCTACACACTTTTAACTTTGTTTTACAACAGACTGCAGCTCTTGTGTTGGGGGTGTGCTCATATTTGGTGAATCTCACCAGCTCACTCCCAACTCAGTTTACAAGAGCATCTTCATTATTTGTACCACCTGGCGTTTCAAACAGGTATGAGGGGCACAGCTATACATTCGCACCACATCAAAATCTACTCTGTCTAGTCTCCTAGGTCAGAGGGTGGGCACTTTTGGATTACTGGCCAGGGAAGGGTGGAGTAGCTTTGTTTGCTTTTGTAGTTTATCTAAGTACTTTTTGTTTCAGAGTAGGCGAGTGTGGTCAGGCTTTGTTTTGTTCCTTTCTTTGGTGCCGTCCACAGTTTGATTCTTCCAGTGTGGTGCTGGATATCATAGCACATTGTTTTTATTGTGCTTGGTTTTAGTAAAATGGCTTCAAAAGCTCTACCGGTTGGTTCATCAAGCTTTTCACCTGTCAGTGTTGTGATGCCGCAACTTATTGATCTCACAGAGCCCTAGAAAAACGTGGGGTCGGAATAATGTATGAAATTAGGTCTACTATTAAAATTTATACACCAACACCAGCTACTTAAACTGTAAAGCAATTTAACTGTCACACTGGACAAAGCGTTCTAGTTTGTGTGGGGTACTTTGGTGAAGTCTTACGACGTCAATTCGGTGCGCAGCAGTGTTAGTAGTATTTTGGCTCCTTAACAACCTTGTAATTCAGAGAATCTGTCAACGTTCAGAGGAAAAATGTCAGTATGGCAAAACTATCGGCTTTTACCACAGTTTACCACAACACATGACAGCGGCGGTTTTCCAAAACACCATTTATTTCAGTCATAGAGAAAACCAGCTTAAATCCAGAGCTCCTAATATGGGCACGATGCCTACTATAGAGTGATGACACGACTTCAGAGGTCTATTTATGTACTAGGCAAAGTAATCTTTTTCCTCATTTCCATTCTAATCACATTTAGTTCTTAATTACATTTTTTTGGCTTGGGGGGTGGATTTAACCTAACTTTCTCCCCAAATGAGTCATGGACAATTCCCATTCTTTAGTTTGGTCTTCTTCTACACAGAGATTCACTTGATAGAGGCCCCGAATATTCTGCTGTAACTCCCGTTAAGATGAAGCAATCTGAACCAAAACAATGCACTACATATCTTGACGTATGTGTAATCAATTGCATTACATGCGATGCTGGAAGTGATCTCCGTTTTCTGCCAGACACATTTCGACACAGCACTCCATGTTCCTGAACGTATCGGCAAGCATTAGAGAGGTTAAACATTGTGATGGCTGTCCGGCACCTACCTCATCACTCCGACGCAGGGGCACCCCAGCTTGTTCTAAGCTCCATGTACTGAGGAGTTCATTGCACATTGTTTCGTCCAGATTGCTTCGTCCTACCGAGAGTTATTACAGAATATTCGGGGCCTCTTTCGAGTGAATCTCCCTGTATAACATGACACTAACTAACCAAACACTGTAAAGGGTAGCACGTCACCTGTGAGATATGTGATGCTCCACTGCTAATGCTGCGTCATTGGAGTTCAACATGCTTGGAGGAGAACACTAATTCTGTTACGTCAGCCAGCAGATGACTGACTCCCATCACCAGGGATCAGGCTTGCAATCTCCCAACGCTTATCCTGCCAATTCTAATTCCTTTTTTGGGTGTATTTTGATTTGGGACTGCTCATAACTCTCACTTTAGAGCCATAGTGTTTTATTTTAGACTAAAATAATCCAATAAAGAGAAGAATAGGGCCTAACAAAATTCCTATCCTAGATGCTGGACACACTAAGAAGCTCTTCCGCAGCTCTAGAAGTTACTCAGTACCGCAGGAGTTTTTGGACCTGATACCCTTTTTACTCCTCTGTCCACCTCTGAAAATCGCAATTCTATGACTGGCAACATCCCTGCGCACCCACACATGCGCTCTGTCTCTCTCTCACTGGTAGCTTCACATCTACAGGGATTAAAGGCTTCGTTAGGAAGCTGTGGCATCAGTGCGTGCTAGAATCATTGTGCGAATGGCTACATTGGTCGTATGCAAAAATGAAGCCTCTCCTTAAGGAGAAAGTTAAAAAAGCAACAAAACAAAAAAGTTTCTTCTTTTTCTCCTCCTTGTCACTGCAGCCCAACCAGCTCAGTGATGGGCGGGGCCCACACCATCAGCTCCTGGTACTTATGGAAGAATAAACTCAGACGGGAGAGGTAACTGTCCTCCTGATACGGCAACGACTTCTCCTTCAGGTACCGGGACACGATCGGCTTCACCTGCAGAGAGAGAGAGAGAGAGGGAGAGAGAGAGAGAGAGAGAGAGAGAGCGCGTTAGATGTATTTTTTAATTATTATTGATTCACCAGAGCCAGTTCTAATCTACATAAAATAAACCACACATACAGACAATACAATCAGAATTATGCACACATAACAGGGCATTGAAATAACTTTAAAAGAGGTTACTTCAAAAATGTATTCCATTACAGATTAAGACTAAGCGACCCTTATTAATCCCACAACAGAGAAATTTCACCTCCACATTTTAACCCATCCGTGCAGTGAAACCCCACATACACACTAGTGCACACACACACTAGGGGGCAGTGAGCACACTTGCCTGGAGCAGTGGGCAGCCCTATCCACAGTACACAGGGAGCAGTTGGGGGTTAGGTGTCTTGATCAAGGGCACTTCAGTCACGTACTGTCGGCTCAGGGATCGAACCGGCGACCCTCCGGTCACAAGTCTGGTTCCCTAACCTCCAGCTCCAAAGCAATATTACCCAGCTATTACTGACACAGATTGCTGCAGTATAGTATTGTATTCTTGGTACAAAGACGCTGAATGTGTGTATGTGTTTGTACATGCGTATACATATATACATTTTTTTTCTTTGTGTTTGGCTTGTCTTGCTTTTCACTTTATTTGTTTGCCGTATATACTGTCTGTCTGTTGTCATGATTTCTGTCTGGCTTGTCCTGCTTTTCATCTTATTCATTTACCTTGTGTACCATGTCTGTTGTCATAAAATAAAAAAAAAGCCTTTTTAAACAAGAGTTTAACACAAGCCAAACACAAAAACTGGACTTTTTTGTGAAACACAATGACAGATTATAAACTTTACACAGTTTGAGGCCAGTATGTGATGACTTAGGAAGTTTTCATTGGTGCATTCATTGCTTATTAGCTACATTAGCCTCGCAGCTCCAGCGTAAAGCTAAAGAAGCACTTTAGACACAAAACACGCCTCGGCTAATCGACTTCATTTAGGCTAAGAGTGGAAAAATGTAAAAATTTGACTTTTTGCCAAATTATTCCTTTAATGATCTGACTGCTGTAGTGGTCAGGGGAGCCATTTGTGGCATTAAGTATGTTAATCTGAACTGACCAATAATCCTGAAAGGTTCATGTGACTAAACACAGTGTGAAATCTTAGTCCTTGGGATAAAAGTCAGCATGTTTTTTGAGCTGCACATTCCTCTTCTCTTAGGTTTTATTATAATGGGTTGAGCTCCTTTTCATTTAATGTTAATCTGGACAGGGTTCCACTGAAAAAGAGATTTGGGTTTCAGTTTGGCGTCCTGCATCTTAATATTTAAGCCATTTAATAGTTGTTCATGAATAAATACGAAGCAGTAGACCACACAAACTCACAGCGTGGGCCGCTGAGTGCCTATCCTCTGTTAAATCACTCACTAAGAAGTCCCAAATTGGCCCTGGAAGCAACATCAGCAAATAAACTGCGTTTCAGGGAGCTTCAGGAAATGGCTGAGTAGTTACAGCCTAAGATCAAACTGCACAATACCAAGTGTCGGCTGGAGTGGAGTAAAGCGCCGCCACTGGACTCTGGAGCAGTAGAAACATTCTGTGGAGTGACCAATCAGCTTCTCTATCTGTCAGTCTGATGGACGAGTCTGGGTTTGGCGAATGCCAGGAGAACATTACCTGCCTGACTGCACTGTGCCAGCTGTAGAGTTTGGTGGAGGAGGGATGATGATATGGGGCTGTTTTTCAGGGGTTGGTCTAGAACCCTCAGTTCCAGTGAAGGGGAATCTTAATGCTTCAGCACCAAGACATTCTGGACAGTTGTACTCTTCCAACTCTGTGTGAACAGTTTGGGGAAGAACCTTTCCTGTTCCAGCATGACTGAGCCCCAGAGCACAAAGCAGCTCCATAAAGGCCTGACTGGGTGAGTCTGGTGTGGAAGAACTTGACTGGCCCTCTCAGAGCCCTGAGCCGTCAACCATATCACACACTTTTGGGATGAACTGGAACGGAGACTGTGAGCCAGGCCCTCTCGTCCAACATCAGTGTCTGACCACACAAATGCTCTTCTGGATGAATGGACACAAATTCCCACAGACTCTCTCCAACATCTTATTAATGCCTATAGATTTAGAATGGTATGTCATAAAAACTCCTGTAGGTCTAATGTGTAGCTGTCCCAATACTTTTGTCCATATAGTGTATCTTCCTATACATTAAAAACGTGAAGTTACGCTTGTGACTTCAAATAGTAAAGAAATGCAACCAAGTACTATGACAAACCAATTTGACTTGTTCAGTTGCGTTGTCACTGAAATGGAAGGACTATAATATAAAAGGCTGTTATTCCTGTATAATTTACCCAATATAAAAGTCAGTATCCTCACATTAAAGCTCTAGATTCTGAGCATCATCCTTACAGTTGTCTCACTCTAAACTCTGTGTGAGTTTACATTTATGAACTGTAATGTAGTCACGATAATTTTGGGCCACAGCTCACAGTCTAAATAGCTAAATAGCGCTCAGAAAGATGTTTCAGCTCCTTCTTCCCGTTGCTAGCTAATTGTTAATTTATTCTATAGCCTTATCAGGTGTGTCAGAGCAGGACATGCAAAACTATGCAGTGCAGCTGGACTGCAGCACTGGGGAGAGAAAAGGATGGGCTGTAGAAGGACGGTTTGGTCTGCTGCTCAAAATGCTTCAGCAGAAATGGACACAGATACTAAAGCACTAACTATCATTTGAATCCCTCAGCTGACATTCAGATAATGTGTGAAGGTGTAAGTGTGAATGTACCAAAAATGTCCTGAATTTATAATGATCTTACAGGGAAAACATACTTTCATTAGCTTCATAGGAAAACCAGAGAAAAAGGGCCACAGGACGGACAAAACACTGCTTCTTTTTTATTTCTTTAAGGAAATGATTAAGCTTAGAAAATCATCACTGTATGTGTGTATCCATTTTATCAGCTCCACTTACTATATAGGTGCACTTTGTAGTTCTACAGTTACAGACTGTAGTCCATCTGTTTCTCTGATACTTTGTTAGCCCCCTTTTACCCTGTTCTTCAGTGGTCAGGACCCCCATGGACCCTCACAGAGCAGGTACTATTTGGGTGGTGGATCATTCTCAGAACTGCAGTGACACTGACGTGGTGGTGGTGTGTTAGTGTGTGTTGCGCTGGTCTGAGTGGATCAGACACAGCAGTGCTGCTGGAGTTTTTAAACACTGTGTCCACTCACTGTCCACTCTATTAGACACTCCTACCTTGTCAGTCCACCTTGTAGATGTAAAGTCAGAGACGACAGCTCATCTGCTGCTGCACAGTTTGTGTTGGTCATCCTCTAATCCTTCATCAGTGGTCACAGGACGCTGCCCACAGGACGCTGTTGGCTGGATATTTTTGGTAGGTGGACTATTCTCAGTCCAGCAGTGACACTGAGGTGTTTAAAAACTCCAGCAGCACTGCTGTGTCTGATCCACTCAGACCAGCACAACACACACTAACACACCACCACCACGTCAGTGTTACTGCAGTGCTGAGAATGATCCACCACCCAAATAGTACCTGCTCTGTGAGGGTCCATGGGGGTCCTGACCACTGAAGAACAGGGTAAAAAGGGGCTAACAAAGTACCAGAGAAACAGATGGACTACAGTCTGTAACTATAGAACTACAAAGTGCACCTATATAGTAAGTGGAGCTGATAAAATGGACAATGAGCGTAGAAACAAGGAGGTGGTCAGAATATCATGGCTGCTTAGTATATATGAAGTATATATGAAGAACATATCATCACTGTTGGGACAAAATATTATATCTCCAGAAAGGTAACTTTCCAGGAAATGGGAAACTTTGAATGAGAGTTATTTGAACCAGGTTTGTATCCAAGTAATTTTGGAGGGGCCATTTATTATGAAATATTAATACAATGTAAAGAGCAGCTGGTATTTTTAAATTCTGCCAAAAAATGAAAAATGCATATCCAAGGTTTTGTCACTGGAGCGATTATATGTCTTATATGCAATGTATTTCGCTGTTGTCGGAAGAAAACCTCCAAAGTGGTAACTTTACAGGAGAAGGAAAAAACCTACTTTACTTTTAATGTAAGTCAATGGAACCAGAATTTTCCCAAGTCATTTTGGGTCATTTCTTTTAGCCCATTCATCATGAAACGTACACACAAAACAGAGGACTACAGGTATCTTCAAATTATGTCAAAAACTGAAAAACATCAAAAATGGAGATGAAGCCAACAGCAGCGATCTATGACTTCTTATTACATATAGGTTCTCACACATATATAACATCATTATTACATACAGGGATTTCCGTATTATATAATGAGACTCATTGTTGTGACCCTGAGCTCTGAATTGTTGTCAGCTTTTCTGCATTCTCCCATGAAAGAGCTCCCCAGCCCCCAACACCCCCTGACTGACTGTGACTGTAAGCTTAATGTTGCTGTTTAGCTGAATAAGTGCTACTGTGGAAAAGGGCATGTGTTTTCCAGTTATGTGTGCTGGGAAGTGTCATACCACTCTGTCATTCAGTGTTTGCTGAAGTTTACCATCAATTTAAATTATATTTAAAACATATGTGGTGTATATATTATTATAAGGGTGTAATTAGCTACATTATATAATAATTCCTATAGAATGTAAATATGAGTCTATGTCTAAACACTGTAGAAAAACAAGTGTGTGCATGTTCACCTTCAGGCACATGTTGTCAGAGAGTGAGGGGAACAGGTGGTGTTCTACGTGGCAGTTGATGAGCGAGTGTCCGAAGGTCCAGTCAAGCAGTGGGTTCCTGGGCAGGTTGAGGACCCCGTGACTCATCTGGTAGATTCGCTTGGGCCTCCGACTGGGAGAAAACATCGGCAACCCAATGTGCTGCACACAAACAAACCAACACACAAAACAAGGCCTCATGATTAACAAATAAAGTTAATAGCTCAGTGAAAATTTACAGAATTGTACTCTTCCCACCAAATATACTCGATATACCACGACATGTTTATCTATAATCTATATAGAGCTACAAGGTTAATGTAGCTAACCAGTAATGGAAGTTCTTAACCTCAACTAGCATCATTGTTTCACAGGAGAAACCACATTAGCAAGTCTATTTCAGATTACGTAATCATTCAGCACAGTTTGGGGCAAGTGTGCGATAATTTAGACATACAGTACAGCACCATGCTAATTGGTGGGGCATACGCTTCCATTAGCTGTTAGCTACATTAGCCTTGCAACACAAGTGCAAAAACAAAAGAAGAACTTCAGACACCAAACATGTCTTAGATAATGTATTACATTTGAGGTAAATGTGGACATTAGATTTTTTACCAAACTGTTCTTTGAGTGTTTGTAGTATCGCTGCACACAGAGCAGTATACATAGCCTCTATTGCAATGTGTCTACTTGATAGATGTGTATATGAGTATGTGTAAATATTGGGGGTGTTAAACAATAAAAAAAATCATGATTAATCACATTAGTTTGTGTAATTAATTAGCATTAATCACATTTGTCATATTTGCTAAAAAAAGATTTTCTCCTTTTGTAAAGCAGTGCCTTTTGTTCTAGCGGAGAAATTACGCTTTATCAGAATATATTTATTGCTTTTAATAATCCAGCAATAGTCAAGTCAAGTCAAGTCAAATTTATTTATATAGCGCCTTTTACAACAGATGTTGTCACAAAGCAGCTTTCCAGAGAATCCGGGTCCACGCCCCCAGTGAGCAAGCCTTGGCAACAGTGGCAAGGAAAAACTCCCTCAACAGGAGGAAGAAACCTCGAGAGGAACCAGACTCAAAAGGGGAACCCATCCTCCTCTGGTCGACACCGGATAAATATTATTTTCATTGTATGAACGCAGAGTTCACATGAACCGAATATGAAAATCATGTGGTTTCCACAGAGTAAATGCAGTTTCTGATCTGATTCTATCACATACAGCGCACTGCAGCTGGGCTTCAGCCTGAGCTCCTTTAGTGGCATTAATAATTTACTGTATTAACGCATCATTAATGCAGGGGGGTAATAAGCAGTCAAAAAGGAGTGACAATCTTAATTGCTTCTGTTGTATTAATGATCATACAGAATCTTTCTAACTTTCACTGGTGTTTCTTCTCATACTTCTATACTTTCCACAGTGTGAATGTATATGCTGTTTTTGGTTTATAAATATTCATGAATGTTACGTTAGAGCTCTGATGTCATGCGTCATGCCCATCATGCCTGAACTCCAGGTCTAAGCTTTTCTTTACGGGAAACATAAATGGCATTTTCGAAAACTGCAGCTAAGCCGATACGCTTTACTGTAGGTACATTTTTCTCCAAATGTTGCTGGATTTTCTGAATGATGAGGTTGTTACAAAGCTGAAATGTGAATATTGCTACATGCTGCACATTAAACTAGCATCTTAACACTGACAATCTCACCCAAACTTCATCTCCTCTGCAGACCAGTTTCTGCTCCGCCATGTTGAACGGTATAAACTTTCACTATGACATGACGAACATGATCAGAACGGACTTAAACTTTCTGATAGGGAATGTAATCAGATACAGACGTTTACACGGATATTATTCTTCTATTTAACGGATTATTTACAGGATTACCCACCTCGATCAGTCAGATAGAAACTGTATTCTGAATGGTCTCAATCGGACTAGACTTTTCCGACTGAGGTGTTTACATGGACGTATTCTATTCTGGTTGAGCTATTAGTTAGATTATTGATGGATTATTAGGCTGCATGTAAACTTGGCTATTACTTTGTGGATTTCAATTCCAAAGCTTTGGAGTCGATTCTCAATTCCTAAATGTCTGGATTCAGAGAATTATGCTCTTTGAGATCAAGTCTCAGCCCTAATATTTTAGTAATTTATCGTGTTACTGTGTCATTAATGCACCAACTTTTATGAGGCATTTTAGGGAACAGTTTTATTAAATTTGAAAAACTCTGTAATCTGCTCAGTAAGATGACCAGGACTTCACTGGGGGCCCAGACAGGGACACACACACACACACACACACACACACACAAAGAACAGCTAGCCCTTTCACAAAGATACACACACACACACACACACACACACACACACACACAGATACACACAGAAAATAAACAAACACAAAAATAAAGAAAGGGAAGGGCCGAGTCTTCCTACATTCCACACAGCTTCAAAAGAGACCTCATAGTGACACAAATACACAAATACTTCACCGTATCAGCACAAACTGACACAAATACCGCACGGGATCAGCACGGAACACAATAAGTCTCAGGCTGGGAAAATCATGCATGGATTGTTCTTTTCTAAATGAACTCTGTGAACCAAAGCCAAGGTTAACCTTCTAACCCTGACCACGGAGAGCCAGCGGAGAACAAAGCAGCTTTAAGAGCTAAGAGCGGGCGAGAGAGAGAGGGAGAGAGTGGAGGAAAGAGAGAGAGGGATTAGGGCTCGAAACATGAACTGGCCTATCCAAGCTCCTCCGACAAATGTGTCACTTTGTAGCTACTGTTGCTGTTTATAGACGAGCTTTACAGAAGATGGAATTCCTCCTAACGAGAAACGGCTACTGTTAGCGTGGCAACAAACGTTAGCACATTTCTAATTTCCAGGCTAATTTCAGTTAGTCCAGCTTGTTAATGAAGCTTTTTGAACTGAAAAGTCAGCGGGTCTCATTCACCAACCGCTTTAAAAAAGACATTCCTTATTAAAACTTACACAGTTTTCATGAAGATTCTGATATTTATCACTGTTTTCTTATGTGGGGTTTGTTCTCAGGTAAGAACAGAATCTACTCACACTCAAGAGCACAAAGGTGAGAACAGTTCTGCGCTTTAAGAACACGTCATGAATCTGACGTAGACTTTTTCTTAGGCCCTTTATCAAGAACACATTTAATTCAATATGTAGCAACCAGTGGTGGACAGTAATGAAGTAAATGTAATTTGTTGCTATACTTAAGTATTTTTTTCCTATATCTGTACTTTACTGAAGTTTTTCCATTTTGGGTGACTTTTTACTTTCACTCCACTACATTTCAAAGTAAATATCTCACTTTTTACTCCACTACATTATGAGAAATCTGTCGTTCCTTTTGGTTTATGTCTGTATAAAAACGTAACATGTCAAAACGAAAGAAGCGCAAAGCAAGAACACCAATCAGGGCACAGCGGTCACTTAGTTTTGAGCTTGTTTTGACCTGTTGGTCATACCGACCCAGTGCAGCAGCGTAAAATTTTGGGAGAGTCTGTTCAACATAAATGATGAACTAACCTAACTTTGTGTAAACAGACCACAGTATAGAAATATGTACTCATATGCAGTTGTGACTGACGTGTCTTTTTTCTGAATTTATACAAACAATATTTCATTTTATAGTAAATTAGTTTTGTCTAGTTTATGTTTATGAACAGAGACCTACAGATGCAGTTTAGTAAAGGAAACTTATTTGTGAATCTGAGTTTAAAGTCTTTATTAATCTTAAACTTGTAACTAAGTTGCAAATCTTAAACTGAAACTTTGCTTGTTAGTAAAAAGTGATTTCAGAGCCACTCAGTTCTACCTGATGGAAACTGTTCGCCTTCAGTGTTTTGTGTTTATGATAATTTTAATAGACATCAGCGTCACTAATTAATGACCTTCTATTAAAAGACTGGTTTACCAAGAGAGACACTGGAGTATTTTCACCTAAAATGAGTTAATGAAGCGAGTCTTGTTATAAAAATGATAACAGGACATCAGAGCCATAATTAATCTTTTAGTACTTTTACTTTCGATACTTAAGTACATTTGAAGGCAAATACTTTTGTACTTTTACTCAAGTGGAGTGTATGTGAATCGGACCGAACTCCCAACATTTTGTAAAGCTTGTCCCACTTTGCAAAAATTGCTATGAACATATATGTGGGTGGATCATGGATCAACTGCAATAAAGGTGTATGAACGAGAGGATGAGGAGCCTTGTTAACTGAAAAGCCAACGTTATTTAGCATTTCTATACAAAGACTGCTACGGTTTCTCGTTAGGCTGAATGAGATTTTTACCAACGTTTTGTAATGCTTGTCTAACGTTAACTATGAAAGAACACATCTACAGGCAGAGCATTGAGAGCTCACTTACACTGAAAGACAACAGTGGACTGCATCGTAGCTAAATACAGTATATATCGTTGCTGTCGGAAGAAAATCTCGCATCTCCAAAATGGTAACTTTACAAGAGAATGAAAAACTTTACTTCTAATGTAAGTCAAAAGAATTAGATTTTTTTCCAAGTAATTTTGGGCTGTTACTTTTGGTCCATTCTTCATGAAATGTACATACAATGTAAAAGGTAACAGGCATTTTTGAATTATGTCTATATATATATATATATATATATATATATATTATATATATATATATATATATAAGAAATGGGATTGTGCCGAAGTGTTCCATAATTTGGGAGCTACTACACTAAATGATCGAACACCTATAGAATAACTATTAACTATTAATTATTTTGCTTTAAAATGCCCTGCATGTACCCATACGTTATTATTGGCTTAAAAAACATAATTCATGTCAAAATGAATCCCAAAACCGTCATAAAACATTTCAGGCATTAGGCAGCTTATTATGTACTATGTATTAACACAGAGGCTTTAAACTCTTCAGACGTCTGGTTCCTATCACCACAACTGTGCCTCCAAATTTCTCTAGAACAGAGCATTTCACGTCAAACCACTCTGAATGACTTTGTTTACATCTCAACTGGACACTAATCTCACCTATAATCTCAACTAACCAGTTATGTAGGTATGCTGCTTGCATATGTACATATATTTTGTGTATTTACACATTTATTGCTCACCTGGAAGATGTTGACGTGGATGTACGGTAAGGAGAACATGGCTCTGCTCAGCAGCATCACCAGCAGAGCCGAACCGCACTCCAGCCCAGACACACACCGCAGCAGTATGTACTGAGAATACACACCCACGCTCACACACACCACTGTACGCACAACTGCCCACAGAGGCTGACCCTTTAGCTGACCTACAACACAAAGAAAACACATTAGAGCACACATTTTAACCTCTCTTTATCCATTAGAATTAAACAGACTGTGTTTGTTACTGTGTATTTAAGGCTGATGTATGTAAATGAGCTCTGTTCTGATTGGCTGTCCTGTGTTGTATCTCATTCAAAAAGCAATCCAGGCTGAAACACTCCTTATAACTTTAGTTTGAGTGGGCAGAGCTAAACTGCTGCACGCTATAGGTGGATGTATGTAAATTAGGACTGTCAAACAATTAAAAAATGATCTACATTATTTCCATCATGTGAACGCAGAGTTCACATGAACTGAATATGAAAATCACATGACTTTTTACACAGTGAACATGAAAATAAAGTGAAAAACAGCTCCAAATGCTCTGTGACTGTAACCTCTCGCTCTCATACTGCAACCACACGTCTTGTTTCCACTTTCCACTGTTGCTTTTCTTAGTTTGCTGCTCATTGATTGATCCATAGCTCAGTGTGTAGTTTGGTGATAAAATTCACAGCATGGCAGTAGCTGGAAAAACTTTAGTTTTGTCAAGAGAGCCAAAAATGAAAGCTGTCATTTAAAAGCTGTATTTGAATGAGAGAGCTACAGTCATGGAGTCATAGCAACAGCAAGCTAAAGGTAGGCTTCAGCCTGCAAAATCTGAATTTGTTGATTTGGTGTTTTTGCACCAAAGTTTCCAATATGGACCATATGGCGGGGAATGAATTTAAAAAATGTGAGAAAAAAATTGGTTTTCCATGATTATGGGCCCTTTAATTCATGCAATCATTTCAAAACCCTGCTTGAAGTAGATTTTTAGCTCTGAATTTTTAAATCAACTGATTTCTCATTAATTCCCACGAAATATTAATTTCTTAGAAGGTGTATTGTTGTGTCCAAGCATGAAACTGAATCTCTGAACTTTTGTGTAGCATTCCTGTGTTTCCTTCAAGTCTATGAATTATCCTTAATTACTCTGTTCCTCTTGAGAGGTAATATATTCCTCCGTTATTATTATGTATCTCTTACAGAAGCACCTTCCTGTTTTATCGGCCAACCATATAAATCTGCTGAGACACAAGGATGCATAAAAATGTTAGAATGGACGGATCCAGGCCACCACCATCACCCAACACATAGACAGGTAATGTGCTTCTCTGGGAAACGCAGACCTCAAGATGATTTCATTTGAAACTTGTTTCTGCATCACTGTCAGTTTAAAAGCCTGAGTACTATAAAAGTATTGCCTTTGCATAGACCGAGGCTCGCAACCCAAATGTAAAAACAGCGCTTTTGTACTTTCAGCAAAAATCAAATCACCTTGGGAGCCACAACACTTTATGTCCACTTTACCATCTTAGCTGTAAATATGTCTCAGTATGTGCTAATTTGTTAGTATAGACTAACTAATTTAAGATAAACGAATACACAGACTTTGCTCTGCTTTAAGCTTTAGCTCAGCTACAGCGGCTTTTCTCACATCTCTGACAGGAAACTTTTCCACAAAAGTAGAACAGCTAAAACGTCTCTCAACATTCGATTTTTTACAAGGCTGAAGTCACTTCCCATTTGCCAGCTTCTTGTTAGAATTTTCATGTTTGACTGGGAAAATTCAAAGGAGAAACTGACTTCAGCTTTGCAAATTTTTAGTGTTTGAGTTTCTCATTGCAGATTAAACGTATCAGGAAACCAGCTGGAGTGATTATAAACACTAATAAGTCCATTTGTCTCCAAATTATCGATGTTCATCTTAAATCTCTCTCTTTGCCGTTTTGTTAGTTACTAGCTAGGCGAGACTGTTGTCTGTGTTGCTATGGTGACCAGCAGTCTGCGCTGATCTTCAGGGTTAAAGGGTGAATTAGCAGTTCTACATTAACTCCAGAGTTTAAGACCATTTATTGTTAAACTGTGTTGAACGATCAGCAGAGCTTTATTTTACTGTAAAGGAGGATTATTTTATTTTTACCTACAAATCTGATTCAGCTGTGGAGCCACAACAGGGCAGTAAAAGAGCTCTTTGATAGAACCCCTATAACCGACCCCTGTGATAGAACTTTCAAGGTCTTTCCTTCAGCTGTAATACAGCAAAGAAAGGGTTCTTGTTTGGTGTCTTTGAAGGAGATTCTGTGCTTAATAGCTCCTGAAGTGTAATTTTTCCTGTATCCCAAAGGATTTCAGTCTGAACTTAACAGACTGCTCCTTAACTTCAAACTTCAACTTCAATGATTTTTTCAGCAAGCCACAATACAGGGCAGCCAATTAGAAAAAATGTGATTTTCATACATACTGCACCTTAAATGTACAGCAATAAAAACAGCCTGTTCAAATTTAAGAATAAAGAGGTTAGAAAATATGAATTATGACTGTTTTTGGTACACAAATCACACAAATGTAATTATTCGGCTTTGAGGAAAAAAATAAAACCAGGAGAAATGCAGGATATGAGCCCTTTAAAGGACTCATAACAGGTCTTAAATGTGTGCCAGAGACAGATGGAAATCTGGAAATCTCTACCTCTGTTTCAGTTTCTCTCTCTCGCTCTCTCTCACTCACCCATGGCGACTATCGGTGTGATGATGGGTACAGCGAGTGGGGCGACGAACAGGTACACGGTGCGGGGCAGAAAGGGGACCTTCCAGGTGCTGGAGTCTCCCAGACCGATGACGTTAGTGTGAGCGTGATGCATCTTCACATGAGCCTTCACACCTGCTCTGGCAGTGAACGATCCACACACCTGTAGGCACACAAGCACGCGAATACATCACCACTGTGCAAAAAGGAAAGTATATCCATTTTTATTTTTCTACATCATTTGAGCAGCTCTTCATCACCATCATCATCATCATTTTTGTTTATATAGCGTATTTCCCATGCTAGGGATGCTTTACAATCAAAGAACATCAACGCATTAAACAATTAACAACAAAGGGACAATACAGGTAAACATTCAAGTGTAAACGGAACAACAAGAACTTAGTGGAAAAAAGTAAGTCATTTCAAGTGTTCCAAAAGGCCCAATCCCATTTCACCCCTCACCCCTCCCACTTAGCTTTGACCCCTCCGTTTTGTGCCTTCACGTCTAAATGGAGGCTTTTCAGAGGCCAAACAGAGAGTTATGAGAAAAAGAGAAAAACCAGCAAGATGGACAAGAGACCAAAGAAACCCACAAATGTGAGAATTTACTCTGTTAAAAAATTACAGTAACCACTGTATAGGGCAGTTGTGGGCTGGAGGTTAGGTGGTTCCCTAACCCCCAACTGCTCCCCGGGTGCTGTGGATAGGGCTGCCCACCACTCCGGGCAAGCATGCTCACTGCCCCCTAGTGTGTGTGTTCACTAGTGTGTATGTGGTGTTTCACTGCACGGATGGGTTAAAATGCAGAGGTGAAATTTCCCCATTGTGGGACTAATAAGGGTCACTTAATTATCTTAATTTAATGTCATTTCAGTGTATTATGGTCATTTTCTTCATACCAAGCATAAAAAATTGCTAGTAGTGCTGACGTCTCAGTAGCTAACAAAATTTTCCCATTCCACTTTAAATAGTCCAGCAGTTCTGACGCCTGAAGCGCCAGAATGTAACTGCTGCACCATTTAAGGTGGAACAGGAAAATTCGAACAAGAAGCTGGTGAATATCTGACTTCAGCTTCATATCACTGAAGAATTAGGGGTGGGTGATAATAAATAATTGCCCCCCTCTTTGAAGGCATATGATCCCTAAATGTAACTAAAGCCCAGCAGTGAGGAGCTGAACTTTACCCTCCTCTGCTGTCACTGCAGACTGGCAGGGTCGCCTACAGAGCAGCGCTGGTAGCTGTTAATGATGTGATGCTCTTTTTTTTTGAGGGTCCCATTTCAGAGGGGAGATTTCAACCACTACAACTTGTAAATCAGTTCCAAGGGGCAACACTCGAAAACAAGTGGAGGGCCAAAGTGTTTCGTAATTTGGGAGCTACTACACTCAATGATCGAACACCCATAGCGTCAATTTAAACCTTGTAACATGAAGAAGGCCTAAATTTTGCGATCTTTGATTGCCTTTGTTGCTTGGCAGCCACAGCCTAATGTTAACAGACTGCTTGGCAGAAGAACTGTTTATTGTGATTATTATTAACAATCAGCTGAATTATTAACTGATCATTGGCTTCACGTCATACGTTTATAATAATGCAGGGTCATATCAAAATAATCTAATTGAATTGAGTCATAGTGAAATCTGAGATTTTATTGGTGTGACCTGGAGAAGGAAGCCCCCCCAGGGTAATAAGGTCCCCCCCCTCACTTCTCTTATTTAGTCTCACTGGAGAGAGTTTATATGTGAGTTTTACAGCTCAGAGGTTGTTTGATGTACAGTGTCAGTGAAATGAAGCCTTTGTGTGATTGGCTCTGTTTCTCACCTCGATGAAGAAGACGGCCCAGAACTGCCCCCACGCCGCCGACTCACTCAGAGCTCCGTGACTGGACAGGTGTGTCCCCTTCACTGTGATTACAGCGTGAGCCACGCCCATCACCAACAGACCCAGCACAAACCACGCCACCTGTGAGGAACCCAACAGCAAGAATGCTGCGAGAGAGAGAGAGAGAGAGAGAGAAATGGAAAGAGAAAAGAGAAAAGAGAAAAAAGAGAGAGTGAGAGAGAGAAAGAGAAAAGAGAGAGACACAGAGAGAGAGAGGGAGAGGGAGAGAAAGAGAGAGAAAAGAAAAGAGAGAGAGAGAGAAAGAGAAAAGAGAGATACAGAGAGAGAGAAAAGAAGAGAGAGAGAAAAGAAGAGAGAGAGAGAAAAGAGAAAAAGAGAGGGAGAGAGTGTGAGAGGGAAAGAGAAAAGAGAGAGACACAGAGAGAGAGGGAGAGGGAGAGAAAGAAAAGAGAGAGAGATAGAAAGAGAAAAGAGAAAAAAGAGAGAGGGAGAGAGAGAAAGAGAAAAGAGACAGACAGAGAAAGAGAAAAGAGAACAGAGCGAGAAAAAATAAAAGAGAGAGGGAGAGAGTGAGAAGAGAGAAAGAGAGAGAGTGAGCGAGAGAGACAGAGAGGAGAGAAGAGAGAGTGGGGGTAGAGAGAGGGAAAAGACAAGGAGAGACAAAAGAGAGACACAGAGAGAGTGAGAAGAGAGAGAGAGACGGGGAGAGAGAGACAGAGAGAAAAGTGAGATAGAGAGAAAAAGAAAGGGAGAGAGGGAAAAGAGAAGGAGAGGGAGAAAAGAGAGTGGGAAGAGAGTGTGAGAAAGAGACAGAGAGAGAGAGAGAGAGAGAGGCTTCAGAATAATTCCACATTTCATCCTCCTCCCATTTGAAACAGCAGCTCTCTCTCTCTCTCTCTCTCTCTCTCTCTCTCACACAAACACTCTCTTGCTCTCTCAATGTCTCTCTCTCGTGCTCTTTATGAAACAACAGTGATTCTTTAGAACCTCTAGAGCTCCACTGACCCTCTCCATACCCTGTCCTTTATTCGGAGCAATGAGTCCAGTAGCCCCAGCGGCTATTTTCTATGTTAATTTGTTTCAGGAAACAATGCGGTACTTTATAATAGAACGTACTTCAGTACGTTTGCTAGAACATGTTAGACCTTCACATTGAAGAAACAGGTTGGCAAAAAAATTAATAAACACAAACAAGTATTGTAAGTTTTAGCATTGTACCAAATGCATGTTCAAAGGGGAATTCCACTGATCTTTCCAAAATGTGTTCATAATTCAATCAATACCTTCATTATTAATCAATAAAGGGGAGCTCCACCGATTTTTCAACATTTCTGCAGAGTGATTCGGAGCGGTTTGGTGTGAAATGGTTCAGATGTCTTTACAGTGGTGGTGATAGGAACCAGGGGTCGCCATGACTACAACACAGATATAGACATTTTATTTACTATCCAGAACCAGCAGTGAACCAACACGAGTTTCTGAGTGAAATGGGACTGGGCCTTAGTCTAGCCAGTAAACTAGTGGGTGAACTTGGACACAAATAAACTGGGGAGAAAACTGGGTAAAATACCAAAAAATAGGACTAAATAACAAATAAAAAAGACTGAAACAGACTAAATTAATTAATTTGATTTTCTTGCTGAACAGTTTCTTTAAAACAGAGCTTGCACCCCTCACTGCATTCAATCCTATTCAGTGGGTTTAAATGAGAGGAAAACTGGACCTGCCCAAAGGGATTTGGATACAGGACGCGGGTGGGGGGTGTGGGGGTTGTTGGGGGTGCAGGGGGAGCTAGTGGGTCAGCCATTCTCCATGGCAACCAAAGAAACTAGAGCTGAGCTGCAAGACAAGTTGGACATTGACTCTGGTCAAAGAGCTCAGGTGTCAGAGATGGACCTTTCGTGGAACAAACAGTCGATCAGCCAAGATGTCTGGTGCCAGCAATCAACCCGAGAGTCGTCTGTTTCAACAGAAGGAAAAACACTAAAAAAAAAGACCATTTTGTCCAAAGGCTTTAACATCAATGTCACACATTTGCTTAAATGTGAATAGTGAACACGAAATACTGCAGATTCTTCAATATTTCTTGTCATAAGTTTGTTTGATTTTTTTCCAAACTCTAAAAACTTTGTGTTGTTTTCTTTTCCAGGAATAAATAAAAACATTCCAAGGTTTTCAACGTGATGTCAGACTGTATATCTTTGAAATCTTTCTAACAGTTTTAACAGGACAAATAAACTTGACTGTGTTTTCTGCACACAACAGTGAGTGTTTACATGCAGTCAATAATCCGATCATAATCGCATTTCTGCAGTTATCTGATTATTCAAATGGTTATGTAAACACCATACTCCAATCTAGAAATCCGATAAAGAGGCTGGATTTTAGCTCAGTAATCAGATTTCTCAGTGCTGTAAACTCGGATTTCTCAGTCTGAGCATGTGCGAAAACAGAAAGCGGTACCGGAAATAAGCGAACAGCAAATACATGCTTGACAAAATGAAGGAACTAAACATTCTTCATCTTCTACATGATGTATGTTCATATTTTCAGGTAAAGTGGTGTGATGTTAAAAAAAAAAGCCACAGTATGAAGTTTGAGTTTTATTTTACGTTTACGTCACGGCGTCTTCTGTGAGTTTATTGGCTGTAGTTGCAGCCAATAAGCAGAAATCTGATTACTATCTGACTCATGTAGACATGGAGTTTCACATTATCTGCATATAAATGTGTTGATCGGATTACTGGCAAAATCTGATTTTCTGCAGTTATCAGATTATGCATGTAAACGCCCTCAGTGTGTTGTCTATGACACACTCTTAACTATAAACACAATCAAACGTATGACACACAGCTAAAAACAGTAGCAGCCTTTTAGGTTATAAATGTAATCCATTCTTTTTAGTCTTTTCAGCTTCTTTAGCTGTTAGCACAGGTGGGTAGTCCAGGTCCTGAAAGTAAAAACCCTGCCCAGGATTTTGTTACAACTGCTTGAACATCTCTGCTGCTGGTTTCAGCAAACGACAGACGTCAGGCAGTTGGAACAAAATCCTGGGAAGGGTTTTTACTTTCTGGATTACCCAAATCTACTTGTTATCCACATTAGGCTCTTAACTTCAGTGCAAAAGTAAAGGAGCAACTTAAACCTGGTTTGTATTTCTGTGAAGACACTGTGAACACATCTGCCTAAAGACTCAGAAAAGAGCTTATGGGTAAGCATAGCTTGTAGAAGCTGGAAGAGGTCACGAAAATCTCAAATGACGTACATGACATACGAAGCTGTGAATGATCGGTTCTTCGGTAGCTTGGGGGCGAATTGACCCAGAGAACTTTTAAAGAGAAGAATTTCCACTCTGTAATGTCTTCTGGGCATCTCAAACACTAGAGGGCGCTCTGAGCGAGTCCAAAATGAATGGGTTAAGATGGAGTGTTTAAGCAAAATCATAGTTTATAAATGCTGAAACACTTTTAATGTAAAAGAATACATTAATTTCCTGAACACAGAACAGCATAAAACATTTTAGCACTGCTGTGATATTTTTAAGAGCTTTTAAACTCGAGTTATAGGAGTTTAAAACGGCGCCTCATGTATGTCCATGATGTCTGTGAGCGTGAACAGCCAATGAGCTGCTTTGCTCGCCAACCAATCAGTACTCAGTAGCAGTAATGTGAGCGTCCTGCTGCCCAAAACCCGTTTGCTGTAGAAAAAGGAAACATACAGGTGAGTTTTCTTTGTTTTTTTAGTGAAATTCATCCTTCTACTGTCTAAAACTAAAGGAAAGTTCTGGTTCAGTGATTAGAAACTATTTTAACTTTTCGTTTTTAGCCATTTAGCTCCATTTACTCCCATTCATTGAGGACGTGCTCACTGGCACCCTCTGCTGTTTTGCATTCCAGTTTTTGATATAATGGGGGAAATAGGAAGAGGCCAGGCTCCTCATAAACCGGCTCTGACTCGACCCAAACCACAGATAGAGGATACACAGCAGACTTTCCTCTTTATTTTCTATAAGCTCTGGTTTGGACACTGCCCCCTAGTGGACACTGCACAGGATGCCACACATGTTCACAGACTTGCAGATGGTATAAAGTATGAAACAGCCTTCAGCCCAAAGGCGGAGAACCGGTTCGTGTCCCTAAGTGTTCTAAATGTCATTGAATGCCGCTGTTGTTGGCGGTTTTTGGGGATTTCTGTCTTCCCTGATGGCTCTGCAGTCCTCATTCATTTATGAAATCCTGTTTTTTGACAGTCTTAATGGGAACCATGTCTTTTCCCCTTTTTTGGGTCTTGGTGCTCTAACTAGCACATCAAACGTGACAGGACAGTACTGCAACCTTTACCATGAGCTGGGAAGCTGCTCAGACCAAAAAGCACATTAAAACAGCTGCACACACATGAAATAAAGCACAGGATGTGTAGTGGGAGCTTCTGAAACCAGAGCTCTAAAAAAAGACGATTCTTCAAGGGTTCTTTAGTAAAGATAATGGTTCTATATAGAACCATGAACACTCAAAGAACCATTTGAATGAATAAACAGTTCTTGCATGGTGAAATGGTTCTTCAGACAGATGGAGAATGTGTTGTATATGGCTCTATTTAGCAACAAAAAGGGTTCTACTATTGGTTACGATGTCAAACTTGTAACAATAGAAGAATTATTTTTGGTGCTATAAACAACCATTTTCAAAAATGTTCTATATACAGAAGCATATACAACACATCTTTGAACAAAGTGCTTCTTTGAGTGTTCATGGTTCTATATAGAACCCTTGTCTTTAGTTAAGAACCCTGGAAGAACCATCTTTTTTGTCAACATCGTCTGTGTTGAATATATCTCATTTACTAAACATTCAGGCCTGTTTCTGAATGTCTGGGGACCTTAAACCCCTGGTTCTCAAAGCACTCCTCAGGGGGTCCATCTGGGGGTCCCTGAAGACCAGTTTGAGAACCACTGCTCTAAGCAGCATCCTGTTAGGGGTCCCCACACCTCACCCATCTCAATAATATTCTATTGTGTACAAGAATAGAACAGGAGTTAATATTTCGTTGATTTTGCTGAAGAAAAAAATGTAAGAAAACATTCACACTTTTTTTTTCAATCAATTTAAAAAAAAAGGACACATTCAGGGGGTCCCATATTGGCTCTAATTGACCACCCTGTGAATACTGGCACATATCTAACTATTTGAATGGGAATCCCTTAATTGGCAGAGTGCTCTTGCATATATGAGGAACAGATAGATAGATAGATAGATAGATGATAGAAGATAAATGATAAAATAGACTAAAACAACAATAAAAATATGATGTGTAGAACAAAAATAAACGGTAAAATCACATAAATACTATGCAGCTGACAATGCAGTGGTGCATGTCCCCTCCAGTGAACGAACAGAGTGACTATGTCCTGTAAACGATCATGTTAACAGTTGTGCAATGTGAAATATTTATGGACGAATAAACAAAGTGACAGTGCAGTATGTAAAAGGTATAGATGTATAAACAAAGTGGCAGCGCATAGTAATATGAGTAAAGAGACATAATGTAATGTGATGTCCAGCTGGTGCCCAGTGAGCCTGTCCTGTCAGTAATTTGTCTTGGTGCAATTGCTGGATGCATTAACTGACAACAGTAAACAGTGAATAACAAAGGCAGCGCTGTGTTCCTCTGGGAGTGTGACGGTGTTTTACCTGCAGGCAGGCTAATGAAAGCCACGGCCAGAATGCTGCAGTCTACCCCTCTCCTCTCCCACCAGCTGCTCTCCTTCACCGTCTTCTGCACCAGCCGGGTCAGTTCCATCATCAGCGTCTCCCTGTCCTCTTCCCCTCCACTCTGCGCCGGCCGCTCCATCTCTCTCTCCCTCTCTCTCCACTCCTCCGGGACCTTCTGCATGCTGCCGTTGACCTTCACGGACACACACAGAAACACAGGCACAAACGTCTGAGCGCACGTCCTTCACACGCTCAGTCCCATCGGACGGCTGGACATGTTTTAGACACAATGGAAACAGATCTCTTTCTCTCTCTGGGTCTCTCCCTCTCTCTCCCCTGTCTCTCCCTCCCTCTCTTTCTCTTTCACAGCCTGTCACTCCTCCCTCCCTCCCTCCCTCCCTCCCTCCTGCTTTCTAGTTCCCACAGCTACGCGCAGAAACGCTTACAATGCAGAGAGCTTGTATCTGCAGCCGGAGTCTAGGTTCTGTTTTCCTCTACTCATGAATTCTGCATGCACCTCACCCTCCCCTGCCCCCCTCTTTCACTGGCCTGACAGTGCAATTTGGAAAGGAAGAAGTGTGAGAAGAAAGAGAATGAGAGAAAGACAGAGAGAAGATGTTTCCTCCACCTTCAAAACAGTCAGACCCCTGTATAATACAGACAAGGTCTGTTCATAAGAGCTGCAACTTCACAAATCACTGTTACTGCTATGATTATCATTATATTATTATATTATTATATTATTATATTAGACGGTTATTATTCATCAATTTTTCTCCCAGACCTAAACAGGGGATCATGATGATTTACAGAGATGCCCATATGGGAGAAAAATATATGTGGACAAATATGTTCGTTTATTTTAATGTTTATTGAATGTTTATTACATGTCAATACATTGTTATTCATACTGAAATACATTCCAAACACCATTAATTACATAGTAACCAAATATATGGTTTCACTTTAGTTGGACAGTCCACTATAGTCCCTACTATAGATTATTTACAGATGTTTACATTGTTAACAAACTATGTATTGGAACTTTAAACAGTGGTGGGGTTAGGGTTGGGATTTGGACCAGGGTTGGGATTTGGACCAAGGTGAGGGTTGGGTTTAGGTTCTGGGTTGAGGTTATGTTTAGATTAGAGCAGGTTTAGAGTTAAAGACAATTGTGGTCAATATAGTAGATATTTAGTTGAATGTAACTTAAAGGTAAATTCAGTATCTACAAAGCATCTAAAGTGGACTATCCAAACAAAGTGTTACCAAATATATTTGGAAAATGCTTTTATTTTAAAATGTGTGGGGAAATATTACACATAGAAATGTACCATACAAAAATAAATGTATGTAAATGTGTTTATGAAATATATCTGAAATTGTATGAAAGTAGCTGAAATCCTGTCTGATGCTCTTCACTGTCTGATACCTTTAGAAACGAATTTGTGTTCCAGTATCTTAATTTTAAATCTGATCAAATGATCCTTTAACAGGACAGAAGCGAGTGTTGTGGGTATTGATACTCTGTGAAAATGCAGTTATGATTTGATATCTTGTTTATGTGAAGTACATTGTGTGTGAGAGTCTCACTGCAGACGTACATGGTTAACGTAAAGTCAGTACCGTCCATTCAGCTCATGTATATTTAGTCATTTGTGTAGCCTTTTAAAAACTGTAAAATATAATAACAAATAGAAATAAATACATTTAAAATATATATTTAACAAATACATTTTGGCCATTTTCATACATTGCAAACATATATTTAATAAATACATTTGGAGTATATTTTTTTTCCATATGTGTGGACACTCAAATCAGTGACTCAGACACAAGCCACACTCACATCACATGTTAGCCCAGCCCCAAATGCTGCCCTAAACCCTGTGTTCCCCCTCTAAGTTCTCACCTTCGTGATGTCAACATCATGCAGACCTTGAGGGCGTCTGCGTTCCGGGCAGACTGGGGCGGGCAGTATGGCAAAGATATCACAATGCATGAACACAATTTACAGTACGCACCACAACATTTAGTCACAACTTATGTTGGAACAGGCAATAGAAAAGAATCAACTCAGACTCAGTCCTACAGATGGTTCCGCAAGGGTTCTTGGTAAATACAATGGTTCGAACCATGAACACTCATAGAACCATTTGCAGCTTAAATGGTACTTTGCATCATGAGATCATTCTTCAGATTGATGGAAATGTGTTGTATATGGTTCTATGCAGAAACGTTTTGAAAAGGGTTCTATATAGCACCAAAAAGGGTTCTTCTACTGTTGCGATGTCAAGCTTACAATAGAAAAACGCTTTTTGGTGCTATTCAGAACCGTATACAACATATTCTCCATCAATCTGAGGAACTCTTTCATGATGCACAGAACCCTTTAAGCTGCAAATGGTTCTATGAGTGTTCATGGTTCTTTTAAGAGTGAGAGACTCAACACTTGACACGCACTCGCTCCCTAGATACTCGACTAGTACCCTAGAGACTCATGAACGTCAACACAATCCTCTTTATTTGCTAATGGACGGCTTGGGAGCAACTGAAGCTTATGGTTCAATTCTCTCCAGTGTTCCAAGTACACACTTAACCCTTCTTCAAGGGTTCTTCAGTAAAGAAAATGGTTCTACAAAGATCATGAACACTCAAAGAACCCTTTGCATGATTAAAGGGCTCTTTGCATCATGAAAGTGTTCTTCAGATTGATATAGAACAGGTTGAATATGGTTCTATATAGACCTTTTTCGAAAATGGTTCTATATGGCACCAAAAAGGGTTCGTATTGTTGAGATGTTGTTCTAACAGAAGAACCCTTTTTGGTGCTATACAGAACCATTTTCAATATATTCTCCATCAACCTGAACAATCCTTTAATGATGTATCACACACTATTACACCACACACACATAACACACACTAACACAACACCACCACGTCAGTGTTACTGCAGTGCTGAGCATGATCCACCACCCAAATAGTACCTGCTCTGTGAGGGTCCATGGGGGGTCCTGACCACTGAAGAACAGGGTAAAAGGGGGCTAACAAAGTATCAGAGAAACAGATGGACTACAGTCTGTAACTGTAGAACTACAAAGTGCACCTATACAGTAAGTGGAGCTGATAAAATGGACAATGAGCATAGAAACAAGGAGGTGGTCAGAATGTTACGCCTGATCAGTGTATATATATATATATATACACACACACACGTATATTGTGACTACTGTCGGTCTAATACACATTTTAGTGTTCTCCCTGTTCTAATGCACCCAGTTCAACTCAAGAAGGACGTGATAATGAGCTGAGTAGTTGGCTCAGGTGTGCTGGGGCAGGGAAAGGGCAGCAGGTACTCCAGGGCCAAGGCTGGGAAACACTGTGGTCTAATAGATTACCAAACTGCAGTACTGTCTTTATCCACAAGATGGCAGCATTTTTTTCCTTTGAGAGCATGGTTTCAGTCAGATCTAAGAACAGTTAGACCAGGGTTTCTTACCTTCAACTAAATGTGTACTAAATTGACCATAATTTTACAACATTGAGGAAAAGGTAAAATATTCATTTCCACAATCAGTCTCAATGACTGCATAGGGAAAACTGACCCCCAGTCTCATTTTGGCCCCTAATCCCTCTGCCAGTCCACTCTGTCTCCATCTGTGCTTTCAAGTGTAGCGATTGCCATCTCAAAAAAAAATGTGAAGACTATAAAACCCTCTGGCAGTAAGCGAGAAGACAGAAGCACAGCATGGATGGAGGAAACAGCACACTGATGACCGTTTAGTCACATATTATTTTTGGTTATGCATATAAGTCAAGTCAAAGTTTATACACTATATTGCCAAAAGTATTTGCTCGTCTGCCTTCACATGCATATGAACTTGAGTGACATCCCATTCTTAATCCATAGGGTTTAATATGATGTCGGCCCACCCTTTGCAGCTATAACAGCTTCAACTCTTCTGGGAAGGCTTTCCACAAGGTTTAGGAGTGTTTATGGGAATTTTTGACCATTCTTCCAGAAGCGCATTTGTGAGGTCAGACACTGTTGTTGGACGAGAAGGCCTGGCTCAGAGAAGCGTGATTTGTCACTCCAGAGAACACATCACTGTTTTACACCTCTGTGTTCAACACTTTGCATTGCGCTTGGTGATGTAAGGCTTGGATGCAGCTGCTCGGCCATGGAAACCCATTCCATGAAGCTCTCTACGCTGTTCTTGTGCTGATCTGAAGGCCATATGAAGTTTGGAGGTCTGTAGCGATTGACTCTGTAGAAAGTTGGTGACCTCTGCGCACTATGCGCCTCAGCATCCGCTGACCCTGGTCTGTCACTCCGTGGCTGAGTTGTTGTCGTTCCCAATCGCTTCCACTTTGTTATAATCCCACTGACAGTTGACTGTGGAATATTTAGTAGTGAGGAAATCTCACGACTGAACTTGCCCAGGTGGCATCCTATCACGGCACCACGCTGGAGTTCACTGAGCTCCTGAGAGCGACCCAGTCTTTCACTAATGTCTGTAGAAGCAGTCTGCAGGTCTAGGTGTTTGGTTTTATACACCTGTGGCCATGGAAGTGATTGGAACACCTGAATTCAATGATTCGGATGGGTGAGTGAATACTTTTGGCATTATAGTGTATATAGCGCTTTTTACAACAGGTGTTGTCACAAAGCAGCTTTACAGAAAATCGGGCTCTGAGCCCTCATGAGCGTTGCGAGTGGCGACAGTGGTAAGAAAAAACTCTCTAAAAGCAAGAGGAAGAAACACTGAGAGGAACCATATGAAGCAACAGCATCAGACCCACAGGATGGGCAGACTTTGGGGATTTTTCCTCATAAAAGACCTCAAATAAATCATGGAATATGTGTGTTGAAAACAAAACTCACAAACGTTAAACATTTCACTTTCTCCTCAACGCTGACGCAGCTCGGCAACCAAGCGGTCCGTTCCCAGTGGGCCGCCATGTGTTTGGGCATCTGAGAGAGGGAGAAAGAGAGAAATTCATGATTGTTTCTAATGCAGTCCTCTATTAAATGGCCTGGGACAACCAGCATGTGTGTGCACATATCTAGACAAGCTAGTGGCTCACTGCATTCTCAGAGTGTGACCATGGGCCAGTTACGCGAATGCTGCCGTCCCCAGAACAAAGCATAATGATAACAACTGGGAAAGTTAAACTGTGAAGGCTGGAGAGAGAGAGATGGAGCGTGTAGGGGGCTCTCTTCATTAGCAGAGCCGTTCACAGCTGACACTCCATAATGAAGTGTTAGTGGGGAGGGACCAGTTTGGGAAAAGAGAGTTAGATAGTGACAGTGTCGGACCTTCTGGGCCACAGC